GGGTAACTATAAATCTTAGGTTACATATAATACTATATACGGAATTATATATATAACATATCTTACTTAGGAGGAAAGGAGTAAACTTTTATAATAAAGTGATATTAGGTAATATCTGACAGTGCTCTTAAGATCTTATTTCATATTATTCAGGATTTTAGCTTGTTAATATTTTATATAAATTATATATAACTAGTAGTTTTATAAATTCTTTTAAAAAATATTATATTTTAATAAAAATTTATATATAAATATTCAAATCATTTTCAAAAAAAATTTCAAAAAAATAGTTTGAACTATTATTAAGATATACTTATAATACTGTTATTAAATAGAATAAAAATTAAATAAAATCTTAAACATTTAGTAAAAACCTTAAATTATATAAATATAAAAAGAAAAAAGATCCTGATAAAAAAGATGAAGATTTACAAAAATTATATATATAGGAAGAATATAAATTCTTTGAATAGTTGTATATAATTTATATTTTAAAGATTTATATGATAAAGTATTTACAAAATTAATAAAGATATTGATGAAGCTTTGATAGCTAAAGAAAATGTAATATAAAAGAATTAAAAAAAAACTAAAAATTATTATTATCATTTAAATTTAAAAGAATTTATAACAGACAGTGATCATTTGTATATAAAACTTTTTAAAAAAAGACTAAAATATTTTTATATTATACATCTTCATAATTCTGACTTTATTATCAAAATAATATAAACCCAATAATTAGAAGATGGAAAGTATGATTTGCACTCATTTTATTTTGAATTAAAAGAAAATAGCATAATGGTGTAGTTAGCCAAAAAATTCAGCCGAAAGCGCAGTAAATTTTCGGCTAACAACACCCAGCCGAAAAAAATTCATGTTGATCTTGAATATTTTTTGAATATTTTATTGGTTTAACATCTACTATTTTCGGCTAGATATTTACGGCTAACTACATTATTATTTTTATTTTAAAAAAGTGTAGTTAGCCGTTAATATCAAATGCAATACAATAATTTAAGTGGTAACAGGTAATGAAAATCCTGATTGTTCATATTATAATATTTACTATTATTATTTAACGGTAAATATTATGTAATTATTACAATAATAATAATTATATACTTTTCTTGATAATATTTATTTATGTAATACAGAATCGTTAATTATTAAATGGTATTGTTTGGTGTAAAATTGTTTCTTTAAAATGTTTAATTTTAATATTTGCTTGTAAATAATTTTTAAATTCTTGGAAAATATTTAATAAAATGGATTTAAATATAATCAAAGATAATTTTTTTTAATAAACTTTTTTTCTTTGTTATAAAATTTGCTAAATTTACTGAAATACTTCACTTAATTATGGATTCTATTTAAACAACTTTTAATTAAAACTAGAAAATTCCTTGCCAAATTACCAAGTTTAAGTGAAATAATGTCTTATGGACAAAAGCATAAAAAAATTCAAATTTTATCTTGTTATCTTTCATATTTAGATGTTTGTATATCTGAGGTTATAGTTATAGATTAAGGTGCATGTTTATTATTACCATATGAATTTAATGGTTATATATATGCTAATACAACTGCTGATGGAAATTGCTTATATAATGCAGTATCCTATTTTTTTATTCACGAAAACTCTTTATCAACACAACTTCATCTATTTACAATATTAGAGTTGATGGCATATGCTGATGAATATCTTGTCTTAGAAGTCTTTGAAAAAGATTATTTGTATTCAGATAGAGCATTTTTAAAAGCAAATAATAAGAAATATTAGCAAATAGAATATAGAAATATTGCACTATTTGTTGCTGAGATTATGGAAATGTGTCGTATAGGAGCATGGAGAACATTAGGTACTCTATATGGTTTAGTCTCAGTTAAATATTAGATCACGAAAATATGTAAAAAACTCTCAGCCAAATAAAAAACAAAGGTTAAACAAAATTAAAGATGATGATCCCATTGAACAATGGAAAGAAACAAAAGTATCACTAGAGGATCAAATATTAGCAAATGGATTTGTTGAAGCATTTCAAAAGTGTAAAATTTTTTTAAAGGTATTACACAACAAATTGCTGCTGATGAAATTTGTGAATTAGCTAAATCACCAATTGGCTTTGGACAATCAGCTGTTTCTAAAATTGTTAAAAGATCTGAATTATCTGCTAATAATGCATTGATGAAAAATGCCATTAAATTATGGATTGAGAAACAAACTGAAAGTAAGGCATTTGTGGTATGATTAAATTGAATAATAATATAATTAAAATAAATTTTGTTTGAACATTTATTATAGCTTAATAAAATATAAATGATTATAAAATTTTATATATTTTATAATTAAATAAGTTAAATATATTAAATATATATAAAATCATCACATTTTGATGTTGCTTCCTTGTCTTGCTGGTTCGCTTTGGTCTCCTGGAATATTATATATTGGTGTTTCTTGCGCCTCTGGTTGGATATTTTCGGCTAACTACACTATTATTTAAAAAAAGTGTAGTTAGACGAAAATATTCAGCCGAAAATAGTAAATGTTGAACCAATAAAACATTCAATAAAATATTCTAGATCAACATGAATTTTTTTCGGCTGGGTGTTGTTAGCCAAAAATTTACTGCGCCTTCAGCTGAATTTTTCGGCTAACTACACCATTATGAAAATAGCTATTATAAAAGATAGATTGTGATTGTAAACTTATATATATACAGTGTGTAACAAAAAAAATTGGAATATCATTCATATAATAAAAATGCATATTATATGCTCAAAATAAATCTAATTTTCTTTGCGTAAATTGGATAAGGACTAAGGTTGCTAGAGAAATTAAAGGGTTTTGGCAAGTTGGCAAAATGCCGAAATAGTGAAACTTTGCTGAAACTATATGAAAGTCATATTAAAAAGTTAGCGAAACTCTGGAGAAAAGCGAAACCTAGCAAAACTTATTATAAATGCTAAAACTGCTGAAACCTTGCCGAAACTATAATAAAACTATAGTAAAATCTTGGAGAAACTAATCGTAGAATTTTGGAGAGGTTTAGGCAGGCAACCTTAATAAGGACACTGTTAGATATTACCTAATATTACTTTAATATAAGAGTCTACCCCCCCTTCTAGGTAAGATATGTTATATATATAATTCCTTATTATATAGTATTATATGTAACCTAAGATCTATAGTTACCCCCTCCCCCTAAAATATTAGAATAAACCCATAATCAAGATCTATATTATAATATCATTTAAAGTTATAGTTGCTTCATTATTTTTTGAAAAATTTTACTGCAAATATTTACTTTGAAAAGAAAATATAACAAAAAAATAAAATATTGTTAAGAATAATGTAAAAAAATTGATACTAAAAAATCAGCAGTATAGAAACATTTATAGTAAAATGATAAGAAATTTAAATTTTCAAAATTTCACAATTTCGGTATATAGTAAAAAAGCTAAAAAATTACTCAAATTACAAAAATATGTGTAGTTCGTTCAAAATAAGTCCAATTTTTATTATTTTAATGCAAAATAAACTTGAATATCAGAACTATATTTTGACATCTTTCATGATCATAATGCCTTTTTACTTCTTGAGAAAATTAACTACAAGTCTACAAGTATTGATTTTTAAAGAAAAAATATAATGTGAAATTTGTGAATTTAGAATGGATACAAAGTCATTGAAATGTTATCAAAACCAATAGAAAAGTATAAATTAAAAAAATTTTTTTGACTATTTACTGCACTTTATGCTATTAATTCTAAATTAGTTATAAAAGTTGTAAGCTTATTATAAAAAAAATTACTATATTAAATACCATTTTAATTTACCACTGATAAAATATACAGGTTTTCAGCTTTTAAATAAGCTATTTTACAATTGAAACAGGGCCCCTGAATATACTATTAAGAACCCTATCGTACACTTTTAAAAAAATCCGAAAAGTTTTATCATACTATGATACAAATTTCCTTTTTAGACAGTTATGTGTTGCTACTTTTGTCGTACACTTAATAGTCCACTAAAAAAAAAAATCGTCGTACACCCACTTAATAGTAAAAAAACCTTGTCATACGATTATTTAATAATGGAAAAAAGGTTCATTGTACACTTTGAACCAAATTAAAAATTACTATTAGATGTTTGTCGTACATTTTTATGATCATAAATAATAAAATTTTGGTAATTTCCTTGAATAGAAATTGGAATTAAAGACAAAATACAAACTTATTGAACCATGCATGTATTGATTTCCAAATTTCCTTTTTAAAATTATATTTTCTTTGATTGGTGTAGCTTTGATTATCAAAAATTGTCTGATTTATATAAAAAGAAGTAATATTCCAAAAATTTGTTTCCAAAATATGGAATAATTTTAATGGTTTGTTTAATTTATTCATTCTATACTATACACTGGTAAAAAAATGGTCTATCCTACACATATCCTACACATATCTTACATATATCGGGTACTCAAAATGTAGAAAATTATACACAAATAATACACATATCATACACATATCGGGTACTTATATATATAGTATACTTATCAGGTACCTGATATATGTATGATATATATATTAGTACCTGATATGTGTATGATATGTGTATTATTTGTGTATGATTTTCTACATTTTAAGTATCCAATATGTGTAAGATATGTGTAGGATAAATCATTTTTTTACCAGTGTATTTTATTTTCGTTTAAAAAATTCACAGGGATTTAAGGATAACTGACAAATAATTATGGGTATTCACTTTTATAGATATTCAAATGAAAATCTCCCGGCTTATAACTGGATTGAATCTTGTAATCGTTCAGAAAATTTAGGATTTGGTATTTTATATAGCTAAATTTAGTAACCATACAATGTTGGCAGGTAATAGTTGTAGTTTGGTTAAACGTTGATCATAAATCACTGATTGATATTTAAAAAAAGCTTTCATGACTTAAAACGCGTCTCAAAAAATATAGTCTTTATTAGCTAATATGAACGGTGAATCTTCCAAAGTAAACTCAAGTAAAAAAACCCTTATTCAATCCAAACTTCACTTTTCTAAGACTATATAGTCTACTATAAGCAAAGGAAAAGGAAAGAATGTAAGTTGTTTAGTACCTGAAAAAAGAAAGGAACCAGAATCAGATACTGTTAATGAAAAAGTAGAAGTTCCGAAGCAAAAAAAGCCAAACTTAAAGGATATGCTGCTTGATGAAAATTTCGAAAAGTTGGACGAAAAACATGTGTATTGTCATTATTGTGATATGGGAAAATCAATCACTTTGCATCGACCTAATGATGGAGATCGCTTATGGACTCATCTTAACACTGCATTACATATTAGTAACAAAGAAAAAGATGACAAAAGTGTATCTAAAAGAGTACGAACAACCTTTATTTCTCAATACGTTAATATTGATTATGATTGTGATTCACAACAAAATGATGATGATTTGCAATGCAATATCAACTCACGATACAAAGGTAATAATAATATTTTATAAATTTTCTTAAAGCGCGTAATTAAATGCTAATATAACGTTTTATTTAATAAATTAGTTTGTAACAGATTTTTTTCTTCTAATTATGCCATATTGGCAAAATATGAAACAAAGGGCAAAAATTATCAAATTTTATGAAATGATAACCTTTTGATGGTGATGAAAAGGCCGAAGGATACTTTAAACATGACAAATGTGTAGGAAAAACTTTTTCTCAATTTTGTTCAGTGTGTGCATCTTTAGCTTTTAATGAATCTTTTAACAAACGTAACCGCCGAATGAAAACTCTTATTGTCCAAATTGATTGTTTATTCCTTCTTAAAGAAGGGCAAGAGATTCCTCAAATTATACACAATCAATTTAATCATAGTTCAGATGCTATATGGCTTAAAATGGATTTTCAACATCTTTATAATGTTGTCTCAAATACACTCAAACATCGACTTGGATCAACTACATCTGACGCTCTCAAAAATCTTCTTAGTTATGTTACTATTGAACTTAAAGATCATTCCTATCATTCACTTATCAAATCATATCCAGCACTTGGTCAAATTCTGCAAGCTGTTGAGGCAAATGGACTTGAAGATTGGATTGGAAAATGTGCAGCATTTATGATTGACAAAACTATGGATGAACAACGCCCAGTATTTTTTGGTATGGCACAAGCAGTTACCAAGGTTCTTGATAAAATGGAATGTGAAGTAACCTCAATGCGTGGAATTGGGAAATACAATGAAAGTTTTGTAGATTTTCTCATTATATTAATGTCAATTAGTACATTATCAGTTTGATGGATTACTGCGAATATAGCTGGAGCAACAATTCAATTTTTACGTAAGAAACGAAATGAAGATAGCCAGGAGTTTAATATTCATGGTATTAATCCTTGTGTATTTGAAGAACTTATTGCAATCTGGCGGACAGCATACAATTATAATGGTCCAACTATATGTGCAAAAGATCAAACAAAAGTTGCTGAAATGATCGAAGTTTGCAGAACACGTCAGCAATGGGTAGGGTCAGTTCCAATTGATATTTCAACAATACCTCATTTAATGACTACTGAGGAACTTTGTGCAAAATTTCATCATTTGAAAAGGCTACATATATTACAGTTTTTGCATTATCAGCTGTTTTACCGGGTATTCTGCCACTAGTATTAGCTGTGATACCATCAAATCAAAAAGAGACTAAAGCCGATGCATTTTTAGAAAATAATACAGTTTTAAAAGAATTAATAAAATTGGGTGCAAAACCCATTGGACTTTATTTTGATGGTGCTGCACATGATCGGTCTTGGATTGGAAAAACTTATAGCAAAAAATCATCAGTTTTTAATGATCTTAATTTAATATCGGTAAATATATACTGTAATTATTGTTATTTAATACATTTATTATATTAATAATCTTTTTTAAAATTATTTAGGATGACACATTTTTTTCAAAAAAATTTCCCATAGAAATTGGGATATTATCTGATAATGGTCGGTCTTTAATTAATGGAACTGATGTTTTTCATTGTGTTAAAAAAGGTATAAATTGGTTTTAAAGTTTTTTATATTTATTATAATTTGTTGATAAATAAAATTCAAATATAGGCCGAAACATGCATAATGGAGGTGCACGAATTTGTCCAATTGGTAATTTTATTATGTCAACTGAACATCTTTGGTATTTAAAAGAGCAATATGGGAGTAAATCAGGATTGACAAATGAAGTATTAAATCCGAAAGATAAACAAGCAGATGAACTAGCAGAAAGATTATTTTCTTCTAATGTATTAAAAGATAAAAGATATTTATTTATAATTCTTTTATTATTAATAGAATAATGAATTAAATCTAATTTATTTAAATTTAGCAATAGTTCAACATGCTATTGAACACAATGATGATTCGTTTTATGGAGATGCTATGTATCATTTTTTTGCAGGTTTATTGTTTGAATCATGGAAATCACGTACAATGGAACATTTAAAAAGAATTCAATTTGCATGGGCAGCAACGATATTTTTCGCAATGACACGTCATTACTTAATATCAAATCAGTGCCAACGAAATTCTCAAAAATATGGCATTTCTTGGCAATCAAATGATGATTTTATTTACCTTGGCACTATTTTAATACTTTTAATTCATCAATTTCCAAATCATTATGCTGGAATTCCATTATGTTTTTGGCTTATTTCCACTGCTTTTTTGGAGCATATATTTGGTTATGCAAGACGAATTATAGAAGATTTTACTGTGTTGGATTTTTTAATGATGAATGAAAAAATAATTAAAACAATTTCAACCAAAATGAAAGGTAAGATTTTTAATGTTTTGTATTAATTAAATATGTTAGAATCAAATGTTAATTTTACTTTTGGCCTTTAAGAAAACCTAATCCGACCAAATAATAATGATGGATATAATATTCATCTCTCAACTGCAAAAGATAGACTTCCAGAAACTCTATCAGATTTTCTGAATATTTATGATATAGATTCTAATATGATAAAGGTCTGTAAAGTTAAAACTTAATTTTGAATTTATATTATGCAATTATTACTTATAAATTTAATATTTATTATAGGTTTCAAAGGCAATGAATTCTATATTACACAGGTCGAAAAGTGAAAAATCAGGCATCAATCAGTCACCAATCGGACACCAATCAGTCACCAATCAGCTATCTGATTGGTGCCCGATTGGTGACTGATTGATGCCTGATTTTTCACTTTTCGACCTGTGTTACAAAGTGTAGGAATTAATTACAAATCGTCTGAATATATTGCCATTATTCAGAATACTTTATGTACTTTTAAACACAATAGCTTTGCGTCGAATCTTATCAATATTACTGATGATGATAATAATAATACTCATGATGATGATGATGATAGCTTATCTGATCAAACTTCTGAAGATAGTACTCAAGATACTCAGATTAGTCAGATGCTATTACAACATCAACAGCGCATTATGATGAGAAATAATTTGCCAAATGTTCTTGATCAATTAGTATCTGAGAGTGATGATAAATTTGAATTAGAGCATAACACTATAGATAATTCATTTTTTGACATTGTTAATCATGATGTGCAACAAAAAAAAGGAGTAGATCGTATGTTTATTATGCAAAAAATGGAAGAAACTCGTGGTAAAGTATTTACAATATTACATATAAGAAGTGTATTACAAAGGGTTTATTACACTAAATTATATTTCTTTTTAGTTATATTTGACGAGTATACTCAAAAAGAACATCAGAAATCCAATAATAAGGCGGCAAATAATCTAAAGAATTTTGTAGTTGAAACAGAAAATGGCCCAATTGAATTAGCAACTGCTTTGAGATATGAACAAATGCGTGCTAATACAAAACCAATTAGAACTAAAGGACGTATTTCAAGATGGACTACAGCATGTAAAAAAATATTTGAAACTACAAAAATAAATCTACAAGCATCTACATTCAAAGCTGGAAGTTATTTTTTTTTTATAGATAAATTACAATCAATATTGATAGCAGAAATTATAGCAGTATTTGTGGTAAGTTAATTATTTATGAATTTTTCAAGTAATATTATTATGGTTTAACTACTGATTTTTAGAAACGTGGTGCAAGTTATGTTAGAGTTGACATGTCAGATGGAATAAATGCTGGTCGAATCCATGCTAGATTTTTTGAACGATCACCTGATTCTAATCACGAATTTTTACCAATAATTGCAAAAAATAGAGCGCAATTTGCATGTGAGGCATATTCATTTCGATTTTTTGCAGCTTTAGGTAATATTGAAACCACTATTCATGGTACTTCGAAATGGATGGATAAAAGATTATTTCTGTCTGACTTACAATTAACATCTTATTATTATTGGAAAAATAATGTTATTGGTATTGAAAATAGCATTATAAATGCTGAAAATATTATGAAAAATGCAAAAAAACAGGATGATGATAATTAAAAGAATAGTTGTACATATTGCATTTTAGTTCAATAATTTTGGTGTACATTTTAATCAAATTCTGAATAAATATGAAATATTTGTCGTACAAAATAAAAAAATTTTTGTTGATGTCGTACATTTAAGTCGAATTTTAATGTACACTTTGCAAATTTCTCAGACACGGTTCATTATATAAAAATTGTCTGTATTCAGGGGTCCTATTGAAATACAAAACAGATCTGTAAAATACAAGCAGTAGTTTATGTAGTTTCAATTGATCCAGAAGTTTGTACTCCATTCACATGGTATTCTTCAACAAAAGGTGCAGGTAAGATAGCTAAAAAAAAAAATAAACTGGTATTTTCAACTTCAAAATGAAAGAAAAAGAAAGCATTATATATTGAATGAAATTCATTGAAAAACAATCAAGTATGAATTTGATATAATAATTGTTATTCCCCCTTTTGAGATTTCTGAATTGAAATATACAAATGCAAGAAATGCAGAATAAAAATAGATCAGGCTTTGCTTAAAGGAGCCATGATCTTGTTATAAGACATCCTCATGCAAGAAATAGTAACTTTTTTAGTAATACTTATCAGGTTTTTAACGTTTTCGCAACGTTTTTATTAAAAAACGTGCGAAAACTTTTTTTTTTTTTATGAAATTATTAATAAAAAACGTTTTCGAAAAACGTTTTTTGTTAAAATTTAAATTTTGTTATCATATTTGATATCAAACAAATAAAATTATTAGGTGTTACAATCCAAAATTTCAAACATTATTAAAATTGTATTTATTCCAATTTTATTTTATTGAGTTCACAATAAAAACCAATTTCCTGTGAAAATGTCAATCATGTTTTTGACTTCGGTATTTTCTATTGGAACAGGCGAACAGCAATTAATTAGGATGATCGAATTTTTTCCGTTGTCACATTTATGGAATAAATCAAAGAATCTAGATTCTTAGAATGGGTTGACCTCATTGTCCATGTATGTTCAAAGATAAATGTTAAGATATTATTAAAAATGTCGAAATAAACGTTGTTAGGAAGTTTGACGAATACCTTTTTTTCTGAGAAACTAAATATAAGTTTGTTATTAAATTTAAGAGGTTAAAATCAAGTTTAATTTTCTTAATTCATGTCTCATTCTTCCTATAAATTTACTATGATTTTAGTGACGGGTTTACAGGTTCAATAGAGTTTACAGAATTACAGAATTTTACAGATATTTTATACTAAAAGTTTGACCATGTGATTTTCTTCTATATGACATATTAAGTTTGTAATAGAAATTTATCATCAAGAAAGATTAATTAATAATTTTTTTTTTTTTTTCTTAGCTTGTTTTAAAACGCTAACTTCACAAAAAATTTCTTTTCACAAATTCGAAAATGAAGCCTTACGATACTTCATATAATCGACTTAAGTTTGTTTTAGTAAGAAAAGAATGTTTTAAATTTATAATCGAATAAATAAACTGTATGTACTATACAATTTTTATTTTCAAATTTAAGGCATTAATTATATTACGAAATAAACCTGTCGATTGGAAAATCGAAGGTATGTATTGTTGATTTTAAATCAACTCGATCAGTTTTTTTTATTAACTGTGGTAAAACTTAGATTACATCCAATTCATAAATCGCAATGATGTACAACAAAACAATTTAAACGAAATAACTCAAAATGTTAAGGAGAAAATTAGTAACGATAATAAGGAAAAACAAAATAATCAAGAAGTAAGCAACAGTAATAATGCTATTGTTGATGAGCATAATAATTCACAATTGAGATGGCGGAAAAGAGCATTGGAATTGGCAAATAATGTCGATTCTTTGAAACAGCAACTATGTTTAGTTGAGCTAGGTAATACGGTAAACCAATATTAGTTATTAATTTGTTTTTGAATAATATTTATTGATTTTTTTTATCTAGAACTTGAAAATGCAAAACAAAGTACTGTGACAAATAAAAGGAAGAAAACAAGGGTTCAACAGTCTAATTCTATATCCGGAACCGTTGAAGGAGATATTTTTTCAAAGAAACAATCGGAAAAAAGATCATCTGCAAAAAGAGAATTAAATAAATATCAGGATCCTGATGTTCAAATATTTCAAAAGCTTCCAGGAGCTGATGGTAATATCAATGAACTCTCGGTTTTCAAATTAACGTGCTAATATTTAAATTAATATAAATTAGATACTTGGGGTCAATTTGATATTAATCAAGCAATGTCGTTTCTACAACAAATAAAGCTATTGATGTCAGTAGCAACTACAATGTCGGAAAAATCAACTATTGAAATTCATTCGCCAAGTTTAGAATTATCATCTACGAACTCTAGAGTTATGATAGCACAAACTATCATAAAGATCGTGCATTATATGAGTATAAAATTGACGAGTTTGTTAGAGATATTTCAAGCAAATGCACCAAAAAGCAGTAATCTAAAGCGGACTTATTCAACTTGTGTAAATAATTTTGGTACTGTCTTGGAAAAATTATTGGGTACTTAAAGTAATTAATTTTATTAAATGCTGTTTATGGATAACACATGTTGATAATAATCTTTAATTTGTGTAGTATTTCTTGAATCGCCATTACTTTCAGACTTTGAGAAAAATAATATCATTTCAACTATTGCAACATCTTTAACATTCTTGATTCAAGCTATCCACATATTAACTACAGTGGAAATCGAGGAACTAATGCGAGAAAGTAGTGAACTCGAAGATATTGATGAATCAGAGATATCTTCGGAAATTCAAGATCCAAGAGATGTAATAACATTCGTTTTAATTCACGTATGTAATGAAATTGAACCGAGACTTAAGGAAGCCGTTTGTTTTGTGGCAGCAAAAGAATGCCTTCAATTAATCATTAAAGAATTCAACATGTATAAAGAATCAACAACCGATGATACATATTCTTTCATCAATACGATCATGTCCAATATTGGTTCAGGAAAACCCGTTTTTGAACCTGTAAGTAGTATTGTATGTAAGGACACCACATATTATTTGTTATGGATTCTTGAAGAAGTATTAATTAAAAATCAGGGATGTAAACCGGATAATGTGATTCTCTTGGGTAAGGATTTATATTAATGTTAATCGCTTTACTTTATTATTAAAAAATTAATTTTTTATTGCAGGAGAAACGATTAAGAACATAACTACATTATTAGAAGCATCAATACTAAATAATAGACGAACTTCTTCACACGGAGATGCTTTTACAATGTATTTATATAATATTTGTGAAAAACTTTGTGTTCAATTAGGCTCTATCTCTTTAATTGACTTGCTTGAAAAACTATTTGAGTAATTGGCGGGAAAATTTTATTTATTCGAATCATAATTCAGGGTTATTTGCTCTGAAAATAAGCAAATCAAATATTCAGTTTTTTATTAAACATACAGAATATTAATTTCAATTATCTCTCACTGTCTGCATAAGACTTGCAATATTCCTGACCAGAATATATAACAATGAGGTTTTACATTTGTTAATAATATTTCCTATCAGAATTATTTCAAAAAGTTGTTTATATTGGATAAAATGCTTTTCGTCTTGGTACAGATAATCTCTTAACTTTATCTCCACGGAGAATTTCATCCGATTACTCGAACTAATTTGGATCTAGGGTACTATTCGCAATTCTGCGAGTCTGCGACTGATGTTATACCGATGTTGTTAGCCGCAAATTTACTGTGGCTGCGGCTAAATTTGCATTAAGTAGGATAATTGGATAAAACCACTTCAACTGACGCACTAACATGCATGCTTTTGACATTCATGCAGCTGATACTTATTTTGGCGTTTTATTTATAAATAATACTATTCCGGAATTAGAGTTTTTTTTTCATGAATCGGAAAATTTATAATCTGTAATTCATAAAATATTATTCTATAATTTTAACCCCGAATTTTAGTTTAGTCAATCCAGAATGTATTCTAAAATTAGAAAATACAAGAAAAATAATAAATAACGTCTGAGCGTCTTGAATTTTGACAGACGTTTTATTAATTGATAACCCTTCCCCCCATTTTTTTTTTACTCCTCCCTTAAAATATCGGAGAAATTAATAATTATTCCTTTCGTTCATCCTTTTCTATTTAAATAACAATGTTAACTTTTATGGTAAGTGTTATGGTCATAATCAGATCCTTCGTGAGAATTTTTAAAAGTTTCAAAGTAACACGATTTCATAATCCGAATTTTTATTATTGTTACAGCTAATATACATTATATCTTAGCGTAGTTTTTTTTAAAGATTATAATTGTATAAAAAAATATATGGATAGGGAAGTGAAAAAAAACCAGAAAGTTCTTTCAAGAAAATTTACTATCTACAAATTATAAAACGATCTATGAAGTCATTATCTAAACTTTCATAAAGTAAATAAGAACTAAACGAAAATTAAAACTAATTTACATTTTATGAACAAATTAAATATTCTAATAGACAAAAAAACGACTCTTTCTATAATGAAACTCTAAGAAGCCTCTTCTTTAGTAGGCTTTCCTGTATTAACAGGAGTTACTGGAAATAGTTCTGCCAAAATTTCATTAAGAATTTCCGCATATTGAGGATGATTAGCCAAATCCGATAAAATATTTTTGAACCCAGTTGTTTGTCTAATATGAACAAAGTTCAAAACAACGTATTTCATCGCATGTTCCTTTAATTCTGGATATTTCCATGCAGTTCCAAACAAAAATTCTGCAGCGTCATTTACTGTCAAATAATTAAAAATCTCATTTTTTGCCTGTAAACGTAAATCATCTATTAAATATTTATCAGCAATTCTAAAGAGATCCAAAGCAGTAATGTTAAATTGTTCTTCCTTTTTAAACGTGACTTTATTTGTGTAAAGGAATCGTAACATCTCCAAAAAAGTTTGATAGTGAAAATCGGTAACTTCAATGACGTGATTGCATCTTGCTTGATGATTATTTACGTTATTATTAGAATTTCTTCTTTCTCTAGCTTGTTGTGGAGGTTCTGATTTGCCATTCGAATCTGATTCTAACCATTTCCCTTGAAATATCAATTGAAAATATTTAGATCTTGCGGAAAGAATCGATGAATTGGCATAAATTGTGTGTCCTTGAATGTTGAATTGAACATCGGATGTTGCCGGGTTGTTTAATTGGCCTTCCCATGCTTTCACTAAATCTTGCGGAATAAGATCAGGTAATTGAGGGTTACTAGGTAAAGGCCATTTTTGCGAAACCATTCCCATTTCAGCTCGATCAAATTCAACACCAAATAAAACATGTTCCGGTAAATTTGCTTTATTAAAGAAAGCTTCCCAACCTATAAATTTATAAAAAAAATCAAATTAATATTTATTATAATAAATCGATCTGTTAAATACGCATGTATTAAAAAACATACCCCATCCAGATAATTTAGCTGAGAACGAGTTCATTTTTACAGATTGTCTCTTAAGAAAAATCTGATTTCTTGCGTTTTTCAAATATAATTTAGCAGTTAATATACTCCTTCTTGACCATATGCCACTAGAGTTTGCCTCTTCATGATTTGGTATGGCAAAAAGAAATGCTGCGCAATGGCCAGGTTCTTCTGAAGAGTTCTAAAAAACAAATAGATATTATAAAATTAAGTTTAGAAATTTTATTAAAAAGAAGATAAAATCAATAATTTTAAGATCTAATGTAATCTTAATTATATTATGCGTACAGGAATGAACTCGAGTTGCCAAAACATATCGTGGGAAGTGGCAAAAGGAGGACTATATACAGTTGTGTCAATCTTAGAAACACTAGAAAGAAGGAATTCATAACAACTTTTGGTTTTAAGAGTTTTGAGAGTCGAAGACATGACTAAAAAAAAGAAAAAAAGAAAGAAGCAAGAATATATGACAGAGTTTTGACAGAAATTTTTATGCGGAATTGTTAGAAAATTGAGAAGCTTAAAGTTTAAGCACAGCAAATAAATGTAGTATCTAAATAATGTTACGAGAATGTTACACGAAACGCGATTACACAAAAAATTTATTACAACAGTAAAAAACGTGCGATACTTTAGGAATCGCTTCTCAACTATACCAAACTATTTTTTTTTTAAACAAATTCAAGACGGTAAGAAATAAGGAAAATACCGATACCGATACGGTTGAGATAATTTTCTCCCTTTATATATAATCGAGTAGATTTGATCAGTAGTTAATCAGTAATCAATAATATCAATAATTACGCTCTAATTTCAAATTTGTATGTTATGGTGATGCAAGTGGAACTCATGACCTTTTGACAATACATATTTGGTATAGGTTTCTGTATGTTCATATGATATATTCAGGGGTTACAATCATAAAAAAAAAACAATGTCAACTTATGTGACTGACCAAACTTAAGATGATCGAGATTTAATTTGTTGATCTTCCTAAACGGTATATTAAAGGTATTTAAAAAGGAAATAGTGTTTAATTTTCTGCCGCAAATTTTTTTACAATGTCGCACATTTATATAACAAAGAGTGAATCTTGCCTTTTTTCTCATTAATTTTTGGAAAGAAAAGTAATTGACTTTTATTAAAAAAAATATACAATAAATATTCTAAAATTCAAGTTTCATATTCGGCTGCATAAATTCAATAATTTGATTATGTAATACAGACTAGGAATTATAAGGTAATTCTTGTTAACTCGAGCCGAATAATGATGTCTGCCAGAATTAAGTTAGGTAATTTATTATATACTTGTTTATTGTAATTTTATTTATTATAACCAATAACGATAACTAAAATAGCTATTCGTAAATTGTAAAAATTAATGTGCACACTCAAAGAAATGAACGTAAATAATCAATAAATACTAAGTACGTACCTAGTATTTGTTTGTATCATTTTATGCATTTTAATAATGGAGATCTAGTCCAAGAATGTGCACAATATTGGATTACACTTATCATTTATGCAAGTTGTTTAATCAAAATCATCTAGATATATATTTTTCCCGTGGACTTTTGATCGGTCATATGGTGGATATATGCAATATTAATAAATAATGTTTTAGATAATTATGATATACAATACAACTTTAAAATATGCATTTTACAATGTCCGTATGAGAAAATAAGGCTTGATATTTGATTCAGCAAATGCTCTTTAACGATTATGGTTGATAATAAATAAAAATATCGTATATTTTTTATTTTTTATTTTTTGGAAAATAAGTTTATAAGGGTCGATCATTACACTCTACTTATTATTAAAAATTTTTTTGTCTATTTGATTATAATGGTTGCACAAACGTGAGTATAAAATACCGAAATAAGAGTCTTCGCTAGTTTAATTTACAATTACTGTATCACAATTATCTCAAGTCTTTAACATATAAGTATGTCTCTAGGACAAAAGTCAATATTTCATATTCTAACTTCCGAAGCTGGTTTAAAGTTGAAAAGTAATGGAGAAGGGCCACACGAACTGGGTAGGATATGTTGAACGCGTGAATACGCAAAGTATTTTACACAGCGATTTTTCATACCAATGACGCGTCTTTCAAAGATTATGTCAAGACGGAAAAATCAAAAATTTTTATTAATTGATTTTTTGAGACCGAATTCAAACTGATTAATCTTTTGTTCAACACTTTTAAACTTTAAATAGGGATAGAACCTTCAACTTTTCGACGCGAACTTTGTCAAAAGTTAATGTCGCATCCGCAGTATCCCGATCCTATTATTGATCAATTTTTAGAAGCATTACAAGAATTATTGGACGAGGATCCAGCACAGTTTATGACGTGTTTAAAACCTCTTTTGGTGAACGGAGAATCAAGATTGTAATTAATAAAAAAAACTTCGTTGATTTTCTTAATCTTAATTTATTATTGACCATAAAAATCTTTATCAATTAGCGGTACAGATAGTTTGATTAGAATTCTATTGGGTATCGATGTTATCCAATCAAAACTATTTGACCAATTATTAGAGAGATTACCGACATTCATTTCAGAGTCGGATAATGATAGCGTTGAATCACCAATTCCACGATTGATATTACAACAATTGAAATGGCTAGAGTATACAGTTGACCCTCTTCGTTTAACAGAAAAAATCTTGGAGGTAAAGACATTATAAATATGATAATTGTATTTGATGATCTATTATTAAACTAGATTTTGATTATTATATCCAAATTATCCTAAAGATGATACCCATCACTCCTTTAGACATCCAAAGAGAAATTATAATAAATTTACCTGAAATTATTAACGATTCAGAACAGATGGTAATGAATGTATTTAAGAATACAATAATATAGAATGATTACCCATAATATAATATCCTTTTCTTTAAATACTTTTAGACGGTTATTAAGGCTCTTATAGATTTAATGGACCAAAGCCATCGATTAATAGTCCCCATTCTTGATGCACTCTCTAATTTTATAATACAAGAAGATTATATGTGTAAAATTCGCGAAACAGTCTTTGATCAGCTTGAATCAGCAGATTTGGAAGATTTACCACTTATTATCAAGTTCTTGCTTCAGACGGCTACACTTGAAGATGCTTTTATAGTATGTTTCATTGATAATTTTATTTTGACAAATTTTATGTGGTTGAAGTCTTAATAAATTATCTTGTAGATTATTAAACAAATTAGGGAAAGAGTCGATTTTCGTTCAATAGGAAAATTACAAAACGAAGCAAACCAATCGAAATGTAATCAAAAGAAGAAAAAGGAACAAGTTCCTGAATCTTTGATTCTTGATTCAATTAAAAACGGAATTCAATTTCATAAGTTCATTATGGACGCTTGGATTAAAGCAATCAATGATATCAAAGTGACGGTACAAGTTTTGGCTCATATAATTTTTTAAAAAGATTTTAAATCTTAAAAAAATTGACTTGCTTTTTTTTTTATTTTTAGACAAAACACATGATCATTGACGTTTTGGTTTTGTTGATTATGCATTCAATCCCGGGTGCAAAGAAAAAAGTTGAAAATATATTCCGTAAAAAGATTGAAAGTGGCCTTTTTACAAGGGAGCTTTTAGAAGAAGCCATTACGTGTCACTATGAAGGTTTGCAAGAATATTTTAATAATATTATTTCACTTTCGGAAAGCCTTCTTCGATCAAGTCAACAGCAAGCAACATTAGCACGGGCTGCTTGTTCATTATATAAAAGTTCTTTCATGGTATTCGAAACTTATGAACAACAAGAAATTATAGCCTCGTTAGTAACACATATTGGGAGTGGTTCAAATACTGAGGCAGATTCTGCACTATCAGTACTTTCACATCTCGTTGAAACTGATCTCGTAAAAATATGCCGATTCACAATTTTTGTGAAAGGGATCTTGGATTATTTGGATAACCTATTAATAGATCAAATTAGAATATTATTTGATGTGTTAAGTAAACTAATATGTGAGGTAAATTTACTAACTTCTTAATGTTTAAAGAAGTTATTTGATCAACGAGTTTTAATTAAAATTGAAATTATTGAAGGACGCTAACTACGGGGATGGTAGAAGTGGCTTACTTTCTGAGTTTTCAATTGTTATTCAAAAACAATTGTCGAATCCTAGTGAAAAATACAAACAGATCGGTGTCATTGGAGCTTTAGCTTTGGTGAAAACTTTGGGCGCCAAAGAATTAAGTTCAAATGATGTTGACCCAAATTCTGGTAAGTTGCAAATTTTTTATTAATATTTAATCAAATTACTAAAATACTTTCTATTAGGTTTAAAGGACTCAGAGAAACGTAATCCATTCTTAGATATAGTAAAAGAAACTCTTACTAAAATTGAGCGACATTGTGTGAGATCAATGGTAGAGTAAACATAATTTAATCGTTTTTACGTATTCACTATTTTATCTTGAAATTTATTCTCTACTTTTTAAAGGCTTGTCTTTCTTTTGCGTTTGACGAGCTCGCCTATTTCATTTCTCATGATCTTTTAGATGAGGATCTCGTCATTTGGATCAATGATAAATTAGCTTCTCCATTTCAAGATTACTTTATCTTAGATGAAGATGACATATCAGTCTATAATAAGGAGGCTTATCATTTACCACGGATACCAATCGAACCCTGGATGAAGATAGATGTAAAAAAATAAATCACTCAACTCGTTTTGTTATTTTATTAGTCCTTATTTTATTCTCACGATTTATTACATTTGAACATAAATAGGGTGAATTATTAAATATTATATACCCTTTATTATGTGAGCCTTATGTATCCGCAGACGTACGCACAAGTCTTGGTGTAAAACGTGATTGGATAATGAGCTCTTGTTCAATGTTTAAATTATGGCAAGCGTGTGAAAAGGCCAAAAATAAAGGATCATTAGAAGAGATCGATGCCTTGTTGGGCATGGGGATACTCATGTACGAAAAACAAACAGCAGAAGTAAGGGTTTTTTTTTTTTGTATTTTCTTCAAGTTTATCTTTTTTTTTTCTTTTTTTTTTTGTTGATTATTATATTTCCTAGCATATGAAAAGTAACAACTATACAAAATTAATGTACGAAACTGCATGTAACGCATTATTTTATGCTATTAACTGGTAGGCTATATTGTTCATTTCACTTCTTTTTCTAAGATTAAAGACTCGGATTAAGATATTTCATAACGGTTTATGAAAATAAATTGAATTTTTTTTTTTATATATTCACTAAAATAATTAGGTTCCGAGAGATTGTCAACGCATTTTGGAGTCAATCGGATATTGATGATACAACATGTAGTAAGTTTTATTCTCTTTATTTACCGATTTTATTTACCTACCTTATTAATAAGAAGTAAATTTGTTCGATTTGTTAGAAAAAATAATAACAAGATTACAGAATATAAATGAATTAGAGAACCTTTTGACCGAGTTATTAAAAATAACTCCAACCTTTCAGCCCTTTGGATTTGGAGTACCTACACAAAAATCAGTTACAAAAGTCAGGGCTATTGCCATACCAATTGATACTTCACAAAGAAATATTATTAGAGCAGGCAAGACAGCAAGAAGATCGGCTATTAGTAAAGGAAAGATCATAAGTGCTCGTAGAATTGAAGAACAAGAAGAGGAACAAAGCAAAATTAATGATTCTGTTCCGCAGTTTATGTGCGCTGCGGATTTAAGACCTTTAATGCGCGAACTTGAAATGGAAACATTTGGTATCTTAAAGTATGGAGAATTCAAAAAGTCTCAAGTTGATTATGACGATAACGATGATGGATCTAAAGATAAAGAAGTTTGTGATGATGAAATTCGTTTAAAACCTAAAGAAATCATTTATCTTCTTGAAGACCTTAATCGAAAGCTTGAACACAAAATATCACCATCATCTATGAATATACCTTTTTTCGCTAAGAAGTTTAAAAAGAACGAAATCAATACAAAATCTAAAGGATTTGACTTAATTTCGCGACAGTCCGCATTGGAGATTGTTAGTACAGTCTCCGAAAAGTATTTGCCACTTCTATTAACTCAATTTGAGTCAATTTGTAACTTGCTCGATCCGGACAATGATGTCTTGTTAGAAAGAAATGAGTTAAATGAAACCCAAAAGTGTCTTGAGTTATTACTTGAAATAATTCATCGACTGGTTTCATGGTCTGATTTGAAGAGTCCGGATAATGTACAGACATTAATCAACATTTTGAACCAAATTTCTTCAAGAGATGATTCTTTAACCGAATCCACGACTACTTCAATTCAACGTGATTGTCTTCAAAAATCTATCACGGATGTATTTGAATATTTACTTAAATTTTCATCAAAACTTCCAACTGCAAATTTGGCTATTTTATTTCATAAGATACTTTGTAAAGTTAATGAACTCGCACCTGATCCAAATGAATTATCCGTTAAATTCGGAGATATTGCACGATATTTTGCAACTTATCAATGGCAGGATCGAAAACAATTGAAGCCTTCCTCAATTGTATATCTTATACAACAAGATATTCATTATTCGATAGATAAAATAGAAAGAATCAAATACTATGCTGATTTAGTCCTTCCCTCTCTTGAAAATAATGAAGAAAAAGTATTACAAGAAAATCCATTATTTAATAAGGATACGTTTCAACACTTCTACAAGGCCTTATCTATAGAGTTAATTGAAACTTTACGGGAATTTAAGATGAATGGGACTACAGAAGAAATCCTAACGCAATTTACCAGCATGGTTTATTGTTGGCAAAGATTGGTTTCTTTTATAAAGAAAAATCATAAGCGTGTTATACTCTCCGTGGTGTTGAGATATGGTCGTGGTTTTATTGATTTGTTTGTCAAAAAAATGTTGCCATTCATAGATGAGAGTTTCAAGTTACATCGAGATGTAACATTGATAATTTTTAAAGATTTTCAGAACGCAACTCGGAATATTCAGACGCTTTGCACTCATGTGAAGGTAGCTAAAGATACTATGTTGGCTGCAATGGTCCCAGCTGTAAAAAAGTCTTTGGAGATAGTAATCTTCCAAGTTAAGGCTATGTTACAACATAATGGATATCCTCCAGAAGCATTTTTCATGGGAGCTCTCAAATGTCGCGATATTGAAGGAAATATAGTTGATCCTAATATGCCTATAGACGAGGATACAAGAGATGAAGTAAATTCAGTTCTGAATGATGATGATGACGACGACGGTGATGATGAAGACATAGAGAAAATTGAAGAAGAAAAGCAAGATGAAAATGAGGAAGATGATGATAATGAGATTGCATCAGAGACTTCAAGATCTGCCGATAAAATTCGTGAACGGAAAGGTAAAAAGAAAACTAATACCCCGCAATTTGAAGAAATGGAAGATGGCTCATCTGAGAAGAATGACGGCCATATAACTGAAGACGAAGAAGTAGACGATGCATCAGTTGCAAAGACTGATTCGATAAATTCTGATGTAGAACAGGATATAATTGAACTCTTAGATGAATATATTGAAGAGAAAGAATTAGAGAGTTATAATAGAAAGCGTAGCGAGTGTTCTGCAGATGATGATGAAAATGAGTCAGCGGCAGCATCCTCTTCCAAATCAACGCATAAACGATTAAGAATGGAGTCAAATAAATAGAAATAAATGACAATTCAATGTAATAAAGATTATAATTATAATATATTGTTCCAATTTACAATTGGAAATTTATCTTAAAAAAATTATCCAATAAAATTTTGCAAATCTTATTTGAAGCAGTATAACGTAACAATTTTTTTGATTCACATAATGAAAAATTTCTAGTTGTACAAATTCACTACCGCATTTTGAAAGTAAAAATATACGTATTTTATGGTTCACGGCAGGTTTGGTTTTTTTTTAAATTTGTGCTTATGAGTTGTAATAATATTTATAAACATTATCTATCATTCGTGGCAGAAATTCTTTTTTAAGCCACTTTTTGTTCGTTTGGTTTGAATTTTTTAAATAATTAACGTTAAAAGTAATACTAGCTTTTTTTTTTATAAAAAAAAATGACGTTCTTGAGATCTAAAATTATAGTTTTTATATTCGTTGCTACAATATTCTTTCTTATATTTTGGCCAACAAATCCAACAAATTATTATTCAAAACAATCATGTGTTGGACAAAATAGTAATTCGCCAATCGAAAATAATGGACCAGGACCAGTTATTGATGCAATTAGAACAACAACTATAACGGATTTAAAAGGAGAGCAGAAAGAATATTTAAATGCAAAGGGATATATTACATATCTTCATACACTTCGTAAACAACATAAAACAGCAATAGCATCATTAACACGTAACGCAGATAGAGCAGTAGCAAATAATACAGTATATTCAGTAACATTAAAACCACAATTACCACCGTCAGGAGATCCGCATGATTATATGTCGTTGGGAAGATATTTTTGGCCTGATCCAACTAAACCTGATGGATTGCCATATATTCGTAAAGATGGTTATGTTAATCCCGAGTTTTTTACTGTTCTAGACTATGTTTTTATGAGACAAATGTTTAGAGAAGTCCAAGATTTAGGATTCGCATATTTTTTTACTAGAAATGAAACTTATGTTCAAAAGGCTACGTATCGTATTAGAGAATGGTTCTTAGATGAAAAAACTAAGATGAACCCAAATTTAAACTATGCTGGATTTAGAAAAGGGGAAGTCATAGGATGGAAAACTGGCGTTTTGGATTTTCATCAAATATTTAGAATGTTACAAGCAATACCGCTTATGAGATATTCGAATCAATGGGATCCTAGCATTGAAGTAGGATTAAAGGCATGGTTATCGGAATATTATGTGTGGTTTACTACATCTAAAATGGGTAGAGGAGAAGGGAAAGCAAAGAATAATCATGGTACATTTTATGATGTACAAGCATTATTTTTATTAGATTATCTTGGTAGATATGATGAAGCAAAAGCTTTTGCTAAACAATCTATAGAAAATCGGATAAATAAAGGTATATTACCAACAGGACAACAACCACATGAAACCGAAAGGCCGACATCATGGTTTTATTCAATATTTAACTTGCAAGGTTTATTTATGTTAGCTGAAAGAGCTGATCATTTTGAAATCGATGCTTGGAATTATGTCGGACCTGAAGGTCAAAGTATACGTAAAGCTGTTGACTATTTATTACCTTATGCTTTAAATGATGGTAAAGGTTGGCCTGTACCCAATATTAAAGGTTTTGAAATGAATGATTATGTTAAAATTTTAGAATTATCTTATATTATTTGGGGGGACGAAAAATATTTAAATTCTGTCGAAGAATTAAGACCAAAAGCTAAAGCTGAACAAGCTGCTGGTCTTAAATTGGCTAAATGGGAAGATAATTATCTTTGTAACATAGCTTTATTGACTAATCGCTTACTTTGGACTTGTTTATATTAATAATATAATGTATTTAAAAAAAAAAACATTTGGAATAATTATTAGGAAACTTAGATATTTTAATAAATCAATATTATTATTATAAAAGTTAATTATTAATTATGAATTTGATCCATACAGTATGCCCTAAATTTTCACTGATGTTTCTGTTATGTTTGGAAAATGATCAACAATTAGGAAATAGAAAAGTTCTAAGCGAAACTGAATACTATTATAAAACTTGATACATAACGATAAGTAAATCTTATGATTAATTTATTTTTGAAAATTAAGTATGAAATTAGAATTGTTTATAGTTTGAAATTAAATGATTATAAAATATTAAAATATAATCTTGGATATATATTTAATATTACAAATTATTAGTGACTAATTATCAATAGTTCTTTATATACTTTAAATATTTTAAAATTATTATCTGTAATTCAGAGATTACCATTTGGATAATAGGTAGTACAGTAATTATATATTATACAATAAATTTGCCAACAGTCCAACCACTTTTATTAAAAATATATAAATCGTTTGGATATAAATATTACATATTACATATTAAATATATTAAATAATTATATTACCCAATCATTTATATATCATTTAACAAGCTTGCAATGTTAGGTTTTACAATCAAATGCTGTGTGATCTGACCTAAATTAAAAACACTTTCTTGAGAAGGATCAATCACTACAGCATTCTCTAGAAATGTTCGATCTAAACCTGACATAACCTAATAAATTAATAAAAAAAAATCATATTTAATCGATGTACAAAAGTTAAGTATTTAGTATTAAAGCTACTTACGTCAAATGTAAAATCCCCAAGTATCATTTGCATTTTACCTGACCTACGTATAACCAGTCTTCCTATCTGCCCCTCCGGTTTATTACAATTAATGGCGTCCCCCGCATTGTCTTGCTCTCTTTCTTTACCTTTTCCTTGTCCTGCAGGCAATTGTGTTAATGGTGATCCTGTCCCCAATTTATCTGCGACTCTGCCTTTTCCTTTGTCAAGTTGAGATGATCTATCATTGGACCCACTCATCCTTGAGCGTTTAGATGGTTCAAATTCAGGCAAGATAGTAGGCAATTGGAAACATAATAGATGATTTTCCTAATATAAATATAAAACTATTATTAAACACACTTTATCTAAATTAAACAAAATAATTCCTTGTAACTTACTTCATCAAACTGGATTAATTTCCTTTTAACTTCTTTCGATTTTTCGTTGTCAGTTACATCCTTGCCTAATGGATAAAAAGAAAAGAAAGTTCGTCGACTTCGGTTTCTATCTCTTTCTAAATCAACAAAAATCACGAGCCATTGACTCCATAATGCAAAAACTAGAGAATTGCTAATAGAATAAACTATATATTGTATATAAGTTCATTAATGACCTTACCTTCCAATATACCAGCAGTATCCTCTTTTTCATGTTCAACTAAAAGCATATCCGGTGCCCATGGATCTTCTCGGAAAGAATCAAAATCTTCAGCATTATCTGTCCTGCTTTTCCTTTCTTCAATAATTGAAGTACTAAAAACATTTGTGGTATCCACTTGTGATATAGGTGATTATGATTATCAATTTATATTATCCAAAGATAGTATAAAAATTATGATGTATCTTACGTGGTTGAATATTAGTATTTGAACCAAATGCAAAGGGTCCAGATGCAACCAAATCTGGCATAAATCTGCCACGTCCACGTGTTCCTAACAAAATTGGTAATACCACAAAAAGGATTGTGTATAAGTTAATGAATTATTTTAACCGATCACATTCTAGTATACCTCTTCCTTGATCTATTCCTCGTCCACTTGAATCAAAACCAGATGGTTCATTATCCTAAAGAGTATTATTTTAGTTTCATATATTATTATTTATAAAAAGACTAAATTATCCTATAGAATGCTCACTTCTACATAAAATAATTCAGGGGTAATTGTGTCGGCAGTTATTGTTCTTAAAAGGATTGCATGGTATTAGTCATTGTGTTTATAAACACTTTTAATCATATTATGCTTACGGTTGGGGTCGTCTATGTGCTTCAGGTACTGTCGGAACAAATATTTTCTTTTGTGTTCCACGTAACGTTACTCTTGAAGACGTTGATAGAAAGTAATGTCCAGTTGGAGCTGTTCTCACCGAAGCTAATCTCCCTGGAGCTGGAAGATCATGCGATAAGGAACCAAAACGTCTACCGCTCGAAATTGAAGCTAATGAGGGAGTAGGTGAAGGTGCCCTGCTTAACTGTGGAGACATTGGACGATTTATTTCCGACCCTAAATCCATATTAATATCTGACAAAAGTGGTCTAGATTGTTCAGGAGTTCTATTTATATCTGTCATTAAAACTTCGTCTTCTATAGAAGCAGATCTCCCTCTGCCCCGACCCCTCCCTCTTCCTCGAGTAACTCCTGATTGCCTTTCCGCAGTGATTCTAGATCGAGTAGTACTTCTAGCACCTCTTGGCCGTCCTCGTCCTCTCTTGGGCGCGGCTTGGCTTTCGATTGCTTCGTCTGCCATTAGGGAGTCACAGATATTACGTAATATAATTTTATTAGATCTCCAACGCAAGATATCAAAATTTTAACCAATCAAAATAGAGATCGTGTCACTATGACAAAACATAAGAAAATTAATGAAAATAAAAATTATTTTATTGTAATTAAAGAATTAAAGATTAATATAAGTAATTTCATGGCGTGTGATTTATGAACACTCTTACTATCACGTGTACAATCATTATTTTAAACTTTAAACTTTGTAAGTAGAAGTCATTATTAAGTCACTTGACTAGATAATGTAATTATATATATAATAATTAAAGTTTATTACCATCCCGGGAAAAAAATATTTACATATCATTAAGGAAATTACGATGCTCTATATCATAAGTCACACTTAGTGCGACGGGGTATAACTAATTTACAATGTCCCAGGTACTAAGCCATTTTCTACCTTTCAATTTACTTGAAGGATAATTAATTCCGTATGCTATATCTTTAAAGTACCAAAATACAATTATAATGGATGCATAACTTATACCAAATATTATCTTCTTTGCCCGTAAATTACAATACACGGTAAAATGATCAAATATAAATCCTGCCATTAAGATTGAAAAATATAATGCGGGAAAATAATGATGTAAATATGTAACTCTTCCCATTATAAAAAAGGGTATATAATGTAATAACCATCCAATTACGCAAATTTTACCAATATACAAGAAATGTATCCATTCGGCTGTAAAATGAATCCGTTAATATTTATTTTATAAATTATTAACAAAATTATTTAATTAATGTTCATACCTGGTGAAAATTCAATATACTTCCTTTTTTGTCTCACTGAATACCAGAATAATAAACAGAAAAATAATACCAAAGAAGCAGTTCCAGACCACCACACAATTGGATTTCCAAGTAAAAAAAATTTAACCTTGTCATCTGCCCATTCACTCATTCTAAGTCCAACTTCTAATATTGGCCATTGTATTGGCAAGGATGAAATGGAATCTTCTTTGTCGGGATTAGGAATTAGTGCATTATTTACGGTATACATACCGACATTTAAATGCCAAAAGTTGTGTAGAAATTTTGATTTAAAATTAACTTTACTACCAAGTGGTACTAAAAGCATTTATAAAAAAAAAAAAATAATTTAGCAAATATAAGTATGGTTTTTTTTTAATAACTTACACTTTTCATTCCAATGTCGTTCAACATTCCAATGAGTGTAAATATCCTTTGCATTGTTACGCTTATCACAAGTCACTTCAATTTGTCTAAATCCCCATTCTGGCAATACTCTATTAGCAGACCGGAGATAACACCCGATTACTTTATGACGAAGTCTTATACTAGTCGTTAATGTTCGAATACGATTTGTTTTTGTATTTGTATCACTAACAACTTCAATCACCCAATAATCATTATCATCTCCCAATGTTTCATTACCATAAGCACTAACTTCGAAATGTACATTGGTTACAGGGGCAGCAATTTCATGACTGTGTAGATTTCTTCTGGTATTAAGATGTAATAATCTAATAGTATCTCCATTATTTACAAATTCGACCTCAGTGATATTATTGTACATTTGCTCTTTTCTTGGTTTCAGTATCATCCAATCATTGTTAATATCATTATGATGATAACAAGATACTTGTTGTTGTTCTGATCCTCCGGGATATTGATTAATATGGGAATGCAAAAGTCCACCGCCAAATCCCATATTCTTAAGGGTTAATCTTGATCCATACGCCAACTCTAAATAAGAATTATTGAAAATCAGTACAATTGCATATAAAAAAATAAAAATTTAATAATTATTAAGTCAAACAAACCAAGAGGACTTTCCAAAAAGTTGTTTCCAATAAGACCAGCCTGAAAGAGAGAACTCATTTGAGCATCTCCAGGTCCAGTATGGGTAAGAATTGAGAAATGGATAACAAAACATGTCACATATATCAATATAGGGAGAATTATGAGACATATAATTCTCGCTACCCAATGTTTTAGATAATCTACCTAAATATAGCAAATTAAGCGTAAACTTTAAAGGGAAAAAGTAATTTATACAGTTAGCTATTACCTTCGATATGTCCAAATCTCCTAATTTATTCCAGAGATCTTCAATTGTATATAATCCAACCAGTGCTGTTGTAAATAATCCGATCCATTTGACGCTTAAATAGAATTTTAAATTATTAGATTTTATCTATATAAATATAATATTTATTTATTATATAAACGATATGATTTACCTTGAGACACAACCTATAGAAATTCCAGTCATGAAAAGCCATATCCACCAATTGGTTGAAAAAGGTCTATATTTAAAAAAGTTTTATAATACGTATTTGTTAATTAGTTCAAATAAATACCTTTGTTGAAATGACACATACTTGTATATTTGATTGTGAAATTTGACCAAACAAAATACGGTTGTATATGTGAAGAATAATAACAGCGAATCCAGAAGAATAAAACGACTAATGCAAATATAAGCTGTATCTAAATACGAATGAAATAATAATAAAATAAACAAATGAAATACTTAATTAAGTACAATATTCAAAAACGTTTTTTTATCACTTACCTAGCAATACCATCAAAGTTACTAGAATAACGGCTTGACTTGAAAAACGCAATTCACTGGTTGTATAATAGGCCAAAGGAACCATCCCCGCTCCAAACGACGCCAAAAACAATCTCATAACTGTATAATTAACATTTTCCGGATATTTAGTAGCAGGTTCAAATGAAAATGATCCATCATATCCGGCAAGCAGTCCTGCTAATGCAACTATCATTTTACCAAGAGGTGGATGCACATCAAAGTAAAATTCGCGCTTAAGATAACGTGATGCAAACTAAAAAATAGTGAAAAAAAATTCAATCTATAATAAACCTATGTAATAAATGGAATTGATTTTGTACTTACATTGCCAAAATGTGCCTGCATTAGGTGATGTTATATTTAATATCTTTACAATGTATTCAATGTATTATAAAACAATAAAGTTTGTAGATAATTTACCTCATCCCACATTACAATATCCGAAAGTGAAATTAAATAAAATCTCGACCAAAAAGATAAGAAAGTGAAAACTAGAGGGACTATTACATTGTAATATTTATTGTAAAAAGCTCGAGTTTTTGCTAGATTCTTTTGTAACTATATTGAAAAAGCATCAACATGATGATTGATGACTGATGACTATTATTTCTTAAAAAAGATCACTTCGTTACCTTGATAGAGAAAGTAAATGAATTAGAGAATACTTGTATTGGTTCTTTAGTTTTGAAATCTTTGTCATCGAATTTGAGAACTGGTTCATATCCTTCTTTTCGATAAGAAGTTAAATGTCTTCGTTTTATATTATCCATTCTGAAAATAATTGATATTGTTCATGTCGTGCATGTTCAGCCTTATTTATAATTATTCCATAGAAATAATAGCCGAAAGGCTAGAATAAATCGAATTACGTGTTTGTTTAAATTAAATCATTTTTTTTAAAAAATAAAAAAAAAAATCATACAGAATAAAAAAGAAAAAAATTGTGAAAGATCGATAAAATGCTGAGAAAACGTTTTTAAAAATCATTGATCCGCGATCTAAAGTTCAAGGCACAATAATCGAAAAAGGAAATATTAAATGTAGATACTAGCCAATTAAAATTCATTTTTATAAAATATTTTTTTCTTGATTACTATATATAACTATAATGAATCGAGTTGTCATGGCTTATAAGAAATTAACTCTCGTGGCAATTTAACGTTGATGGTTGAAATTTGGATATTTTCTATTTGATCAATTGACCATACATGGAATTTTAATTAACAATGTTAACAAACGAATTTGAAGTTTGCCTGGATTATCATAATAGCCGAATTATAAATCGTGATTATGCATAAACCTTACAAATCAAGTTTGGACAAGATGATTTTCATAATGTTCTTTTCTTTTTTTCGCTCCAAATTTCTTAAAAACAAATACAATGTCTACAGCTTATTCGGCTGTCCACAATAATTCATGCTTACCCTTTATACATACTTGGGTAATAAAAGAATTTCAACATTTTTGTGATAAACAAAATTTATTGCATTTTATAATAAGTGAACCATTTAATTCTCCAGCTCCGAGTGATTCAAATAATAATATTAAACTTGAATATACATGGAGACTCGTTGCCGATATTGAAAATATTGGGGAGGACTTTTCATTATATATGTATATTGTAGCATTACAAACAGATTTTGAAAGGGAAAAAGAACTAAATGATAGGATTTCAACATTTAAGTTCAAAGTATTTAAAAATCAGATACATGGAAATATGAACTCATTTGAAGAATTTATAATGTTTAATCAAAATTCTTTTACTCATCGAACAAAATTTGGAATTAAAAACGCACATGGAGGAAAGTTATGCAAGATCAATCAATTATTTCCAAATAATGATACATCTATAAGTACAGATATTATCATTCGTGTTCATATAAATGAAGTCGAAAAACCACAAAATGACTTTAAAAATAGTATCAACAAATCTTCATTACTTTCTCATTCATTAGAACAATTTTTTAATAATCCATATTTTAGTGATATTACATTCACGTTTGACTGTGGTTCAGAATTAAAGGCGTCTCGACTTGTCCTTGCAGCTAAATCAACTTATTTTATGAATATGTTCACAGGTGAATGGACGGAATCAAATCAGTCAAAAATTGCTATTAAAGGTGTAAAATATGAATATTATAAGGCAATGGTTTATTATTTTTATAATGGATCTCTTGATTCTGGTTTAAATTTTGATGCACTCATGGGTCTGTTTAGTGAGGCTGATATGTGTCAAATTGAAGATTTGATTGAAATCGTTGCAAATAAGATCGTAGAAATGATTTCGAATGATAATTGGCATGAAATTTTATTGATGGGTTGGCAATCTAATAACAATAATTTAAAAAAAGCAGGATTAAAATTCGTGCATGAAAATTGGTTGAATATAAAGGATACTGAAAATATGAAATTTATAATCGAAAACTTGAATGTAGAATGGATGGAAGAATTAATGTCTGTGAGATTTTTTGGAATTAGTAATTACTAAAAATTTTAATTTCACATCGTAATAATTTTTCTTTATTAACAATTTTGATATTGGATATTTCAGATTTTGAATAAAAGAGATTTTATAGACGTAAAGTTGGAAAAGCATTTATTTATTATTATGTTACTATATTAATGTAAAGAGAAAATGTAAAGAGAAATAATATGATGTATATTATAATAAATAATGAAAACAAATAATTATTTAACGTTAAAGAAAAAAATGTTATAATTAACCTATCCCTCCTTTCCAATTAAAATTTTTGTTTCCCTAAAGTTTTTTTTTTTTTTTTTATATATAATTTAATATACAAATCTAAAAAAATTATTATATATAAAAATACAAAAGATGTATAAAATGATGAAAAACGGATTTGAGTGAATAAATAATGTTTTTTAAAATATATTTTATGCAAATTTCTATGCTATTAAAACTTATAAAACTTTGTTTGCATCTAAAATATAAAAATGAAAATGTACATATATATGCAAAAATGATGATTTAAAGATTTAAAGTTTTTGATGATGATGAAAGGCAAAAGAAAAGCTAAATAATCTTAAATTATTGAGATACTACTAACCAAATCTTTCAATGATTCATTATTTTTTTTTTTTTTCCTTTAATTAGAATATGAAGATTGAAAGGCAAATTGTTAAAGTTCCTCAATAGAAAATGTATCATATTGTAAAAGGGATGTATTGTATATAACCCATGAAAACAAATAAAACTTGATAATTTTAATCGTTCTAGGAAAGTTGTCCATAATGTTGATTTTTAAATCTCTAAAGAGATGTTAACACAGAATTCTGCTCTTTACCTCCCACAAAAATATTTTTTTTTAATGAAAATATTTGCAAATTCAAGATGCCAAAAAGTTAAAGCCTTTAGAAACACATAAATTTACTTTTCTTGGCCATAACTTTTTCCATTTCGCTTTCAAGAGCTAATCTTGCTGTTTCAGCCCTTTCTTTTGCTTTACGCTCTTCCTCCAACACACTCTCCATATTCTTCTTCTCCTCTCGTACTGTTGATTTGGCCTGTTCTACTTGTACTTGAGCATCTACCAATTGTTCTTTCAAAACTTTGATCTGTTCAGTAAAGTCAAGTTTTTCCTTTCGTAATATTGATAATTGCTGTTTAGCTAAACGAAGATTATCTTCACTGTCATTATAATTGGCCTTCAAAGATTCAACCAATTGTTTAGCTTGATTGTTGTCATTTTCAATTTGAACAATTTTCTTGTTTAGTTTTTGGATTTCTGATGTAGTCTCAGGATTACTAGCATCAGAACCTTGCCGTGATAAAGTCGTTTCAGGTCGTGGTGGAAAAGGTGAACGTGGTGGAAGTCCAATGGATAATCCAGGTGTTGCTGGAGGTGTACATGGGCTTTGTGGATGTGATGGAGGGGGAGGTGGTGGATGATTTGGTGGTGGCATTGGTGGTGGTGGTTTTGAACGATTTCCTGCAATAGAACGAACACTTCTTGAAGAATTAGATATTGTTGAATTTCTGTTTCCTGGTTCGTTATCAAATGATACTTTTTCGAGTTCCGCAACCTTTTCTTTAAGTGTCTTAATAAGATTATTCTGCTGTGCAATTGTACTTTCTTGTCGTGAAAATTTAGCTTGTATTGGATCATCAACGTCTGTGCTATTTAAGCTATTACGCGGACTTAAACCTAAATCTTTAGAATCTTGTTCAAGCATTTCATTCAGTCGTTTAATTTCTTTTTCTAATTCTTTAGATTTTTCTCTAGAATTGTGTTTTAACTCAGACATTTCTCTCTCAAGTTGTATAATCTGTTCATTTAATTGAGCGATTTGACCTGCCGGCTTATTTCCACCCATACCTATTGATCGTAATTGTTGCGTTAAAGATTCGATCATCTGATCATGTTTGTTGCGTTCTTCGAAGAACAATTCATTAGCTTCTTCTAATTCTCCTCTTTCGTATTCAAGTTCTTTTATCTTTTCTTCTAATCTCTTTACTTCTTCTGCTTCACTTGAACTAAGACTGGACAATTCCTTTTCTAAAGATTTTACTTTTTCAGTTAGCTTGCGAGTTTGATCTTCAGCATCAGTTATCCTCTTGTTAAGAACATTGTTAGTCTGTCGTAAATTTTCGTTTGCAGCAGCTAATTTAGCCAATGCAGAATTTGTGACTCCTGAACCTCGAGATGTGTTCGAAATATTTTCATCATTTTTAGCTTCTTCAAGAGCAGATTCTAGTTCGGAAATACGACTTTCTTGTTGTCTTGATAATTCATCGGATTTCATGGCGGCTTCAGAAAATTCTTCAGCTAATGATTCCATTTCTTTTTGAAGTTGTTCTACCTGTTTTTCTAAATCATAATTCTTTTCAGATTGAATTATTTTATCCGATTCAAGTTGCTGTGTAGATTTTTCTAACTCGGAAACTCGTTCACGATTTATAATTACTTCTTCATGCTCTTTTTGGAGTTGATTTGTAAGTTCCTCGATCATCTTATCGTCAATCTTTTCATATTTTTCAATAAATGAAAGATGATTCAATTCATCAAGTTCATTTTGTAATTCAGAACATTTATCCCGTAGAGAAACAATTTCATTATTAGCTTCTTCTAATTTATTCATTTTATCATCACGGTGATCTTTCATTTCGCTAAGTTTAAGTTCTAAATTTTTAACTTGTTGACTTTGTTTCTCTTTTGATGATTTGATCTTGTTAATTTCCGTTTTATATGATTCAATTTCGGAAGAAGTAGTTGATATCTCAAAAGTTTGCAATTCAATCTGAGTATTTTGTATTAATTCTTCTAATTCAATTATAACAGTATCTTGATTGTTTATTTCTTTTTCTTTTTGTAAAATTATATTCGTGACTTGTTGTAATTTACTTTCCAATTCATTGATAACCTTTGTTCGTTGTTCTTCGGATTCTTTAGCTTCTTTGAGTTGTGATCTTACGATAGAAAGATTTTTTTCTAAACTACTAATAGCGTCTTTGCTCAAATTTGAAGAATCTTTTGCAAGAGAAATTTCGGATTCTAAAGTTATTAAAGTAGATTCAAGTTCTCTAATAGCATCTTTTTGATAAGATTCCCTTTCTTCAAGTACATTCATTAGCTCATTAACGCGACTTAAATGCTGGTCACGTTCTTTTTCAATCATAATCACTTGAGTTTCTAATTCATTTATAATATCGGATTGAGCCATCATCTCAAGTTTTGTATTTGATAATTCTTCCCTTAAAGCACCAACATTTTCATTTCCTGCGACTCCAGCGATCTTGTAAGTTTCAATCTCGATTTCTAATTCTCTAACTTTTCTTTGTACGTCATTATATGCTTTTTGAGTGTCACTTAATAATCTTGATACTTTATCAAGTTCTTCGGATGATGTAGAAGTGTTTCCTTTTGCTGAAGCCAATTCAGCTCTTAATGTTCTTAATTCTTCTTCATGAGAGATTACAAGTTCTTTTTGTAAACTAAATCCTCCTTTTACAGTTTGAAGTTCTCTATTGACAACTTCCTTAGAAGATCTGACCTTTTTTAATTGAGATTGTAATTGTTCAATAGTTGATTTTTGTTCTGCTTCTAATTGTTTTAAAAGAACAACTTCTTCCTTTACAGTTTCAAAAATTTTAGCTTCCTTTTGAGCTGAAGAATATTTGGACTCCAGATCATAAACTGTCCTTCGAAGATCCGATTCAGAAGCTTTCAATCCAGCAATTTGATCTCTTAAAGCCGCAATGTTTGGATTCTCATCTTTAACAAGTTCCAATCGAGCTTCAAGCGTATCAATTTGTTTACGTTGTTCACGTTCATTGTTACGTAGTATTTCGAGTTCTTCTTTCAATTGGTTAACCTGTTGTAAATCTTTATTTGATTGTTCATTAATTTTTTCTTCTAATTCCTGGACTGTCTTTTGTTGTTCAGTTTCTTTAATTTTCAATCCAGAAATTTCACGTTTAAGAGCGGAAACTTGAGATTTATCTTCTACTTTCTTTAATTTAAGTTCCAAAGTATCAATGGTTCTCTTTTGCGTAGCTTCAGATTCTTTTGCTAAAGCCAATTCGGTTCTAATCTTTACAAGATCTTCATCAATTTTTTCTCCCTTTTCTGATAATTTACTTTCTAGAATAATAATCCTTTCTCTTTGAGAAATTTCAGTAACCTTCAAATGTTCCAATTGTTCATGTAAATGAGATTCTTCATTATCAGATCCCAATCTTGCTTTAAGAACGCGAAGTCGATCAAGTGCGATAGCTTCTCTTCCTCGAACTTCTTTAAGTTCATTTCTTAAGGTTTCCAATTCAGATTGAAGAATTTTATTGACATCATCTCCACTTTCTAATTTATGAAGACGATTTTTGAGTTCTTTCATTTCATTTTCTAAATCCTCTTCATGTTTATGTATTTCCATTAATTTTGTTCTAAAAGCTAAAGCTTCAGCTTCTTTTTCACGTAATTTTTGTTGAAGGGATGATTTATCTACAAGATCTCGTTTTAAAGTATCAATCAACTCATTTTTATGATTAATATCCACTTTAAGAGTTTCAAGTTGACCTTGAAGATCAACTACCATCTCTTGTTCTTCTCTTAAATTTTCAATAGTTTCGGATTTGTGTGCAAGTTCTTGTTGTAAACTTTCAAGTTTCGCTTGAAGACCATCAACAGTTTTATCGGTAGGATCAACATAACTCATAATAACAGAATTACGTGGAGTTGGAATATGTTGTGCTTCCTTTTCTTTATTTAATTGATTTTCAAGATATTTAATTTTTTCTTCAAATTCTAAAATATGTTTATCATTCAATCCATTAGAATCAAATTCATCATCAGTTTCTTCAGGAATACTGGTCAAAATATTATTTTTCTCTTCAAGTGCAAGTCGATAATTATCCCTTGTTTCTAAAAGTTCATCCTCAAGTTTTCGAATAGTATTCTGATGTTCAATTGAAGGGAACAAAATTGCAGCAATGGTATGACTTTTAGATTCAATTTCACTTTGAAGTTTATCAACTTGATGAGTAAGTTCCAAAGTTTCTTGATCTTGTTCAGTATTAGAATTAGGAATTCCTTCCAATCGAGAAATAGCTTCATTGACACGAGCTTGTCTTTGATTTTCTTGTGCAATAATAAGTTGTTCTTCTAATTCTTTTAATTGAGCTTGTAATTTATGAAGAGATTCATCATTAGATTTATTATCTTTTTGATTCTTTGTTGAATAGGCACGTGATAATTCTGTCCTAAGTTCTGTAATATTTGATTCAATTTTAATAATTTCTTTACTCTTTGGATCATTCTCATTTTTGGAAAGAAGGTTAAGAGCACGACGTTGTTCTTCTTTTAATTGTTCAACTTCTTCTCGAAGACGATGAACCACATCAAGTTGATCAACTTCACTAGTAGCAGTGGAAAAACCTCCTTCCATATAAGAATATTCTGATGCAGTCATAACAGACATAACTTCAATTTGAGCAAGAGCATCTCTTCTTTTAATTTCTTCACGTAATTCTTCAACAATTTCAAGTGTTTCACGATGACCAATTTCTAATCTGGCAAATTCTTGTTTAACAGCATCTAAACCTGCCGTTTTATCTGCATGAAGTGATTCTAATTGTTTAAGTTCAATTTGTAATTTTTGAACCATTGCTAAACTAGAAAGTTCTTTCTTTTCTGCTCCTTGAATTTCAGCAGAAAGTGATCTTGCTTTACGATGAGATCCATGATTAAATGGTGATAAAGCATTAGGATCATTATAAGTTTCATTTGAATTATCTATTAATTCTGAATTATCAGTATCAATAATTTCCAATTGCATTTTAGTTCCTGAAAGTTGTTTATGAAGATCAGTTATTTCTTCAAGGCAAGATTGATATTTTATTTTAATTTCTTCAAATTCAATCGAAGTTTTTTCATGAATTTTTTGTAATTCATATAATTTTTCTTCCAAATTTAAAACTGTAGCATAATTTTCATTTGAAATTGGATTAGAACTAGGTGGAGTTGAAAAAGGTGTATCAACTTCATCAGAAGTTGAAGAAGTTGAAGATGATCTACTAAGAATTTTTGGTGAAATTTTTGTTACATCAACTTTTAATTTTTTCAAATGAGAAATTTCAATAATTAATTCTTCAACTTTCTTTTCAAGGTGAGAAATTCTATTATCACGTTCTTCAATTTCTGCCAATAATAAAGTTTGATCATCATCATTATTTAATTTTTCTTTTCTATATTTTAATTCTAAAATATTATAAGCTTCTTCTCTTTCATGTAAAGCTTTTTCCAATTTTTGAGAAGTTTCATTAATTGAAGCAAATTTACTTTCACTTTTAGCTAATTTTGTTTCAAGTTTTTGAATAATGATTTCACTATTTTCTCCAGCTATACGAAGTTGAGAAATTTTATCTCTAAGATCATTTATTAATTCTTGATCCCTTTTTTGTTCACTAGTATGAGCTTCAAGTTTAGCTTCAAGATCTTTAATATAATTTTCAGTAGTTTCACCTCTTTCAATAAGTCTAGCAATTTTATTTTTAAGATCACCAATTATACCTCTATTTTGTTCATTTAATTCTTCAGCTTCATAAAGTTTTAATTCATTATCATGAACCAATTTTTCAGAATTATTTAAAGAAGTACGAGTTAAAGCAAGTTGTTGTTCAAGTTCAGAAATAGATTTATCATATTCATTAATTACAGGTTCAACATTTTGTTGAAAAGATTTATCAAATAAATTTTTACTCTCCTCAAATTTTGTAGTATCAAAATTATCTTGATATTCTGTAAGTTCAGCAGAAGCTTTTGCATACTTTTGAGTTAATTCAGCATAAGAATTTTGTAATTCTTTTAATTGTTCTTCAAGTAATTCAAGATCTTTATTATTACTACGATTATATAAAGAAGGGGAACTATTACCATTAGTAATTATACTAAGAGAAGAAGAAGGTCTTCTACCATGACCATAAGAATCAAAAGTAGGAGTATTTCTACCAGATATAGGAGTAGCAGGACAAGAACCATTAATTCCAGATGATAATCTTATAGATTTAATTTCAGCTCTTAATTTTAAGACAAGAATTTGTAAATGTTCTAAATCATTCCAACCAGCTTCTTCTTGATTTACGATAGCAGAATTTTTAATATTACGAGCTCTATTCGCATATTTTAAAGTATTAATAGTTTCACTTATATTATATTCAGCAGGAGAAACACAAGCTATCATTAAAGTTTGAGCATTTCCACCAAGAGAATCTTGTAATAATCTAGTAAGTTTAGAATCACGATAAGGAATATGAGTAGTATTCCTTGCTTTTGAAGGATCACCTAAAGCAGAAATTACATTTCCTAATGCGAGTAGACCAGAATTTATAGAGATTCCCTCCTTTGCACGATCACCAGAAACTGCGGTACGTTTGAGCTGCGGAATGTAATATATATATTAAAACGGTAAATAAATATATAATATAATATATAATCAAAATATATATATAATAAATTAAGATAACTCACCCTTTCACTACCAGCCAAATCAACGAAATTAAATTTACTTGTAACAGTTACCCATTCACCATCATCAAGTATTTTACTTAATCTTCTTGGAGGGGGAGAACCAAGTTTTGTTGGAGTTGAAGGAGTTGATGGACGGGAAAGAGGTGTTGGACTTGAAATTCCGTTTGTAGAAATTTGTTTTTGTTGACATAAAGTTACAGAAAAAATAGCATGTGATCGGGAAGATTGTGAATTCATATCAGTCGCTCCAACTTGTCTGTTTAATGAACCACGTGCTAAATGACTGTAAAAAAAAAAATATATTAAATTATATATATTTTTTTTTTTTAAAAAAAAAAAAAAACCAAACAAAAATATAAAATTATAATCTTACCCCATAACTTCTTCTACACTATTTACTTTAATTTCTTGTAATCCACTCCAAATTATATTACCTTTTGAATCTTCTCTAATTAATAATTGTGGTTTATTCTCATCATCATCGGTATCATTTAATAAATCGTTTAAATCTTCATTATAAATTTCAATAAATGATACTTTCATTGTAATTTTACGAGATTTAAATTGCGCAGAACTAATATAAGAGAAGAGTGTGTGTAAGGCACGTGGAATGATACCACGTGATTCTTGGATTGATGATACGCTATCGGACGTTCCCATCGTATATGTTTTACCCGATGATGTTTGACCATAAGCAAGAATCGTTACATTGAACCCTGTTATAGGAGAAAGATTAGGATTTAAGACTTTGGGGGACTAAAGAAAGGAATAAACGAATCACAACGATTCACGATCAAATTAAATAATATGATCGACAGTAAAAATCATTACCTTCCAAGAATTTATCTACCATATTTCTGACAGAAATATCATAAACATCTCTCTGTTGTGTTTCGGGACCAAATACATAATCAAAATTAAATGTAAGTTTTTTATCGCCATGAACGATAACTTGATTTGGTGTAAAAGGGGAAGTAGATAAAACATTTCTTTGAAATCTCGAAGGTAAATTAACCAAATCTTCTTGTGTAAGAGGTCTTATACGAAGAGCTAAAAGATAATTTATTTTTTAAAAAAAATTTTGATTATTAATTTTTTTTTATTAAGAAACGAATTTTATTGTTCGATTCTTTTTTTTTGATTCTTACCCACTTGTACCGTTGTGTTTTCAGAATTTGAATTAGTCATTTTTAAGTTTTATTTTTATTATGTCCAATTATAAGGAACTTTTTTGTTGTTGTTGTTGTTATTGTTTTTTTTTTAATTCTCTTTCTTTTTGGATCCTTTGTTTGTTTTTTTTTTAAAGGATGATTTTTTTTTTTTTTTAGAAAAATAATAAATTACTGGAACCAGTCCAAGCAAAAAGAGACTAGATAAACCAAAAAGAAAAGGCGTTCAAATTTTTTGTTGCAGGTCCTTTTTTTTAAAAAAAATGAAACCAGATATTATATACGTTACTTTAAAAAAAGAAAAGATTAAATTATTATTATTATTAAAATATTTTTCATCAAAAATAAAAAAAAACGCGAAAGATAATTAATTTCTTTACAAAAAAAAGTGATTCCTTTTTTTTTTTTTTTTTTTTTAAAAAAAAAAGGTGAAAATAAAATTGGCGCATTGGGTGAAAGTAATTATAAAATTTTAATTTTTTTTAATTTTTATAATTTATATGTATATAAATTAATATATAATCGATACTAATTTGAAAAAAATTTTTTTTTTTTAAAAAAAAGGAGAAAATTTAAAAAGAATTAGTAAACTCAAGGCATTACTTTTTTTCTCTACTTTGGTTTATAAACGTGAATCAGAAATCACTTCCGTAATTCAAGGATGTGTTAGAAAATTAAAAAGTAAATTAAAATATGACGATATCGGGGATCAAAAAGTTTATAAAAATGTTTATGAAAAATTATGTAAATATGAAAAGAAAGAAGAAAATGGAAGAAGGAATAATAACAACAGCAACAACAACAACAACAACAACAATAATTACACATTTGAAAATATAGAACATAAAATTCGGGATATGATTGGTCAAGATGAAGAACCAATTAAAGAACAAATAAAAGAATTTGATCTTAATTTTACTTCTATCTCAGAATTAAATACTGATGATGGTGGTTCATTTTGTGGAATGTTTTGGTCTATTAAAGA